TTGTTGTTATTACTATTATTATTATTGTTATTATTATTATTATTATTAATATTATTATTATTGTAAGCGTTGTATGCATGTGTATGTTGTTGTTGCTGTTGTTATTTTTGTTATCACTGTTGTTGTTTTTGTTATTACTGTTGTTGTTGCAGCTGCTTTTGTTTTTGCTGTTATTGTTACTGCTGTTGTTATTGGGAGTGACTTTGACGAAATGATCCAACGTCTTCGAACTGTCTAGACTAGGGTGAGTAGTACAGAATACCAGGAACATTGATGAAGTTTATCTTTGGCTGTGGCGAACGACTTTGAAGAAAAATAATCCATTTACTACCCCGCCCGCACAAAGACATCCTGGGGCCATAAAACCTCATTCTCTTCCCTCGTTTATTCAGGACAAGGTCTATATCTCCTCAGCCCCTCATCTCTTGTTCCTTAGTCCTGGGGAAAAGCAAAGCCAGCTGACAGAAACAAACGAGAGAAAGATGAAGAAAAGAAATAGGACCTACCAGGGACAACCTCCGAACTGCCCGAGATTTCCGGCTTTTAATTCTCGTCCGGACAGACACAAAAGAATGTCACCCCCCGCGAAACGTAGTTTATAATATATTATGTATCTTTCCCTGTTCTGAACAAATCTACAGTTACTGACTGTAGTCTCCCGGATAATTTGTGACTCGACGCTGTAAAATCAGGCACTCGTCAATTTTTGCGCATGTGGAGTTACATGTATTGGTGTCATCTGAACGAGTATTCATTTGCTTTGCTTTTGAAGAAAAAAAACACCCATCTATTTTGAATGGAAGTCGAGATATCTGCCATTGAAGGAGGTCGGGTCGGTAAATTTCAGAGGTAGAATTAGCGAGAAAATGGCCGCCAAAGTTTGGTGACTTCTATAGCTTGAGATTTCATTGAAAGGGAAATTTTACATTTTGTATGTGCTTTTAATCAACGATTTTCAGCAAAATCTAAAAAGAAATGTGTTTTTGAATGGACGTTAAAGGAGTTGAGCCAAAAAAACAAATTGATAAAAATAGCCAAACTTGTGGGGAAATGTCAGTTTCTTCAATTTCCCTATTTTGACGAGCACCTGATTTCAGCATGATGCCTGACATTTGGATATACAGTGTGCACACGTCTTAAGCCTAATGGGTGAGTGCCGGGTGTGGTTTGCTCCTTCTTTCCGATCAAACATTTAGGGTCCTGAACCTATAGGGTCCTCATCTCTCCTCCTTCTTCTCTTTGTACGTTACTCTCTATAATAGAAACACCTATAATCTTTGACACCTATATGACCTAATTGTGTTACAACTCACGTAAAACTCTAACTTGAACTGAAGTAAACTCTCAGCAGGACCTAGACTAAGGAACGCCCCCCC